TTTTTTTTTTTTTTTTTTTTTTTTTTTTTTTTTTTTTTTTTTTTTTTTTTTTTTTTTTTTTTTTGGTAAAGTAATATGGATTAAATTAATTGTATTTATTTTTTACAAATAAAAATAAATTAAGAGGGTATAAGATAAACCCTAGGTTCCCATGAGTTTCATAAATCCCACCATAAGCATAAAAATGATTAGATTCTTTCAAAGTATAAATCAAAATCAATATAAAGCATAAATTCACGTGACTTTATATAAAATATAAAGCATAAATTCACGTGACTTTATATAATTTTATAAAATAGGAAATTAAAGCGTTATGAATTTAATTTTCTAGAAAGTTAAATTATTCGAAAATTTATAAGTAAACACGTGTAATTGCTTTATTGATTAAAACTAAGTTTTTTAAATTATTAGATATTTATGCTTTATGGATTATTGTTATCTATTTGCATCCATGTGATTTCATGAATATAAATATATATTTTTTTTTTTCATTTTGTCTTTCCTTCTTGCTTAAGGAAAATAATATTTGTTAACGGTGGACCTAGACTATTAGGAATAGTATTAGAGTCAGATATCGAGCAGTGTGTCAGCGAGAACATTGTAGACACGTCTTCAAAGGAGCACGCTCCACCATTTATAAGGATGTGGATGATAGATGAACACGACTCTTTTGAGCATAAGTTCTCATGGTTTTGCTTTGGGCTTCACCAAAATGTCTCGTTCTAATGGAGAGAGTATTCTTTGTTTATAAACCCATGATCACAAATGTAGTTGAATGAGACTGCAGGCGGGTTACACGTTCCACTGTGCCGAGATGTGAGTGAGGTGCAGGTGGTGATGATCACCCCGGGGTATGCGTGGGAGCCCTTGACAGGCACTCTAGGACCTGCCAACGCTCATGAAAACCCAGGGGGACGGATGTAGCCAAGTGGATCAAGGCAGTGGATTGTGAATCCACCATGCGCGGGTTCAATTCCCGTAGCCAACGTGGGACTTTCATCATCGAACAGTGGAAACCTTTACCTAGTAGACGCGTTTTAAAGCCTTGAGAAGAAGCTCGAAAAAGATCGAAAAAGCTCAAAAAGGACAATATCTGCTAGCGGTGGATCTGGAGCGGAGGATCTGGAGCGGTACATGGTATCATAGCCATATACCATGTGGTGTGCCAACGAGGAAGCTCGGAAAATATCGAGAAAGCCCAAAAAGAACAATATCTGCTAGCGGTGGATCTGGAGCGTTACATGCTATCATAGCCATATACCATGTGGTGTGCCAACGAGGACGTCATGTCGGTTGGAGAGGTGAACGAAACTCATTCTTTGTAAAGATAAAAATCTCTCCATAATAAGATAGTATTTTTAAATCTATGGAGAAAATCCAAAAAGAATAAAAGCAAATAGGACCATATATGTCAGGGGTAAGTTTGGATAAGTTTGAGCGTTACATTTTTTCTTGAATTTATTATTATTATTATTATAAATATATAATATTTAAATTTAAAATTGCATTATTTGGAACATTCTTGAAATTATAATTAAAAAAAAAGGTTAATTGTTCAAGTTAAAAGTTGAAACATTATGTATAAAATACAGGAGGCCGGTCAGGTATTCAGCAATTGAACAAAACATTTTCTCAAATTATCCTGAACATTAATCTCCGATGAATTCTCTGCAGTTTCTTCTCAAACCCATTCCTCAGTCACCGATCAGCGGTGCAGAACTCACTGCCCATTCTCAAAGGCCGCTCGACAAATCCTGCAATTCTCGGCAGTTGTCTTTTAGAAGATTCAGAATTAGGTGTTCAATTGCTGGTTAGTTTTTTTTTTCAAATTCGTCGCGAGAATGTTTGATAATTGGTTCCACTGGAGCCTTGTTTATCTAAGCAAGTTTGTTTGAAACTGTTTAATAGTTGACTCGCTTTTCATAATCTGGTTGTTTTACGACACTGTTCGGGCTTTTGCGATCCTGATTCTCTTTTCATGAGCTGGTTGTTTACGATACTGTTCAGGCTTTTGCGATCCTAACTTTTTTTCAATTTTCTCTATCCGTTCGATCTGAACTCTGAATAATCAAAGCAACTGCTCGTCTTGTCGCAGATACCGTTGATCGTATTTCTGATGCTCCAGTGCTTGGTAGTTCACAGGTCAACTCTTGTTGTGTATTGTAATCTGTTTGTGTGTTGAAATATACTACAAATTTTAGTGTTCTATGCGTGGAAGGTGATAATTGTATAGCTTTACTGATTGTTATTTCGATCCATGTGTTTATTGAAGGTGCTTGAAAGATTAAGGGCAAGCCGAGAGAATCAAGAAAACCAGCCACAATTCCTTGCAATGTATTCCAGCGTTGTTGGGGGAATTACGACAGATCCAGCTGTTATGGTAATTCCAATTGATGACCACATGGTTCATCGGGGACATGGCGTTTTTGATACTGCTGCCATAGTGGATGGGTATGTGAGAATTTCATACAGTTTCACCAAGATTATTGTGAAATCCCACAATTCCACGTTGGTCAATAGGAGAACGAAACACCCTTTGTAAGGGTGTGGAAACTTTTTCCTAGTAGACCTGTTTTAAAGCCTTTGAGGGGAAACCCGAAAGGGAAAGCCTAAAGAGGACAATATATGCTAATGGTGGATTTGGGCTGTTACAATTATGAATCTGATATCGATTTCCCGAGACCTGCATAATTAGCACTGTAAATTGACAGGCTCTTATGAACATTTGAATTCATAACTAAATTGATACATATTTTTCTTCAATGGAAGTAGGAAATGCATACTTTCATTTCATGATTTTGTCAGTGTTGAGTTACTGTATAAAATGGTTTTGACATCTCAGGCATCTCTATGAGTTGGACCAGCACCTCGACCGCATTTTAAGATCAGCATCCATGGCAAAAATCAACCTCCCAGTTTCATATGATCGAGAGAAGATTAAAAATATACTCATAAGAACTGCCAGTGCTTCTAAGTGTAGGAATGGACAGCTTCGATATTGGCTCTCTGCAGGACCTGGAAATTTTCTACTATCTACTTCTGGGTTGCATCAGCCAGCTCTTTATGCAATTGTAATTCAAGGTAAGCCGCCATCTCCTCCAAAAGGCATCAAAGTCATAACTTCATCAATCCCAATGAAACCACCTCAATTTGCAACTATGAAGAGTGTAAATTACCTTCCAAATGTTCTTTCAAATATGGAAGCAGAAGAAAAGGGTGCTTATACAGCCATTTGGTTGGATAGTGAGGGGTTCATTGCTGAAGGGCCTAGTATGAACGTTGGTTTCATTACAAAGGATAAGGAGTTTCTGATGCCTCACTTTGACAAAATTTTAAGCGGCTGCACAGCTAAGAGAATCATAACTCTCGCTGAGCGGCTGGTGAAAGAGGGTAGGCTTCGGGGTATAAGATTTGAAAATTTAACCATGGAGGAAGGCAAGAAGGCAGAGGAAATGGTGCTTATTGGGAGTGGAGTTCTTGTTTCCCCTGTACTGCAGTGGGATGAGCAGATTATTGGTGATGGTAAGTACCCTCTATAATCCTTAATTCATAAATAAGATGTTTTTGTAGTTCTGAATCATGTTGTGATTGGCTGGATGAATTTCTTCTAACATGTTTAAAATTCCATTCAAAGTACTTCAATTCAAACAAACATGGAGAATGTTTTTGTAAGCACTTAGAAAGTCGTTCTAAACCGATTCTAAGATTAGTTTTGTAGAATGACGATACCATGACATGAAATAGGAACACACGTAGTTTTCTTCCCACCGCAACCGTATGGTGATCTAAGAAAGGCACCATTGTAATATTTCTGATGGTGGGGATGAGTGTTCTTATTATAGAACAAGAACATGAAAGCATGGAAGCTTGTTTTTATCTGACAAATTAAGAATGTTTTGGTTTTGCTCCACAGGAAGAGAAGGTCCGTTGGCTCGAGCGATTGTAGATCTTATTATCGAAGACATGAAATTCGGTCCTCCAACCGTTCGAATACCAATTCCATATAAATAACTCAGGTCAACCTATCATCTCTGTCTCATAATTTAATGAGACACTAAAAAATGCATTTGGAACATCTAATGCTAGTACAAGCAATGTATATGTGGACGGGAATAAGGATAACAGTTTCACGAGTGATATCCAAACTGTGAAAATTTTAGGAAGTGTTTTAATAAATACTCTTAAAAAGTATATTTAGAATAACTTTTCTTTTAATAATAATAATAAAAAAAATCTTATTTTAAAAATTAAACCATAAAAATATTCTAATAAATGAATTAGTTTCAAACCTATTTTTAAAACAAATCTTGAGTAATAAATGGTCTAAAAATTATTTTAAAATGATTGACAAAATGTTTTTTAAAATATATAGTGCAACTAAAGTAATACGGTTATTAGCGATTATTTATTTATTGTATTTTTAAATGCGTTAAATGGGTTATTAATTTTAATTTTAATTTTAATTTTATTGCTATTTTAGTGTATTTGTAACCACCCCAAATAATAATGTCATTTCAACTTTAAAGACATACCTGTCAATAATCTACGTGGCATGGATTATTTTTCTCCTTAAACAATGACATAATTATTGTTATATAACTTTAATTTTTTTTTTTGAATTTTCAAATATCAAATGCATAGATCAAACCAAGTGTGACACGTTAATAAGCATGAAAAATGTACATTGATTTAATTAATTAATATCGTCCACTTGATCTTATACCATTTTTAAAACTCAAAATATTATAATTATTAATTTTAGAAGGAAATGTCAACGTTCACTATTAGACTCTAAATTCATTTTCATTTTTCTTCTTAATATTTGTGTTTACTAAAATAACGGTTATTTTTCTAAAATTTATTAATATTAATTTTTCACGATAAAAGTTACGATCTTAATCTTAAATTTTAAAAAGTTTAGTATGATTTTTTATTTTTAAAAAAAGGTTATTAGTTATTTGTAATGCAATTCAATAATTAATTTTTACATAATTTGAGTATTATTAAAATTAGTCCATTTATATATATTTTTCATATTATTATTTTTTAATTAAAATTAGTGAGTAAATTAGCAAAAATTAATAATCTAATCAAATATTTTAAATTTCATTGGAGAAAATTGAAAATTTTAAGTCGAAATTGAAACATTCAAAGAAAAAATGGAAAACACATTATTTAATCTGAAATGTTTTATAAATCCAATTAAAAATATTATTTTATTTTATTTTTTAAATGTAGAGATTATAAAAACGGTGGCGGGTGACCAAAGCAGGGCGAACTGCTCGAGCCGTTATAAACAAAAATGCCAAGTAGCAGTTGATTAGTCGGCGTTGTATGAATCAGCAGACCCAGGTGATCGACAATAATCGGAGCAAGAGCGAGAGTTCAGACTTCGATTGACCGACGAGACCGATACGATACTACTGCACTAGTTCAACAGTTTTGGAACTTCACGATTTATCGCTTTTCGAGTGATCGTTTTGGGGTATTCGTTGCGATGGTGAATCCCGTGGTCGAACGCGCCACTAGCAATAAGCTGATCGGCCCAGACTGGGCCGTGAACTTGGAGATTTGTGATATGATCGAGAGAGATCCTGGGTAGGCCTCGATTTACTTACTCGATTGCACTTCCCCTCTCCTCTGTTTTTAGTTTTTCTTGGTTGTTCGTTTTGTATCCTTTTCACGCATGTTAATGGTTTTGAAGGATTCAGTGTTTGGCTATAGAATTTAATTGCAGGCTGCTTTAGAAGTTTGTTTGCTGTGGTGGTAACTTGGGTATTGGTTGAAACGAAAATTGTTTTCGTCCCCCTAATTTTCGTTTGATCTTTCGTTCTTTCGTTTGTTTTATTGCTGCCCATAAGACCCTTGGCTGAATTCATGATAAATAAGTAACCGATGATCAAGCTTGCTTATGCAGGGGGCTGACCGAGAGCGTATACTCTGTTTTGAATTTTGACTTTATAATTAAGTAGGTAAAGGGGGAAGGGAACGGCGACTATGCAACAATTTTTTTCACTTTCGATTTGAATTGGATGATGTTCTTACGAGTTTGTGAAGTTTTCTTGAATATGCTGCCAAGTGAAAGCTTCTCTTGATGGAAGAAGCTCCCACATCGGTGGGTACTATGTGTAACCATCGTCGAAGTCCACCGACAGTACATATTATCCTTTTTGGGCTTTCCCTTTCGAGCTTTCCCTCAAGATTTTTAAAACGCGTATCCTAGTGAAAGGTTTCCACATCCTTGTAAAAAATGTTTCGTTCTCCTCCCCAACCGACGTGGGATCTCACAATCCACCCCCTTCGGGACCCAGTATCCTCGCTGGCACTCGTCCCCCTCCACTCGTTGAAGGGAGATGGATTGTGAGATTCCACACCGGTTGGGGAGGAAAACGAATCGTTCTTTATAAGGGTGTGGAAACCTCTCCCTAGCCTAAGCGTTTTAAAAATCTTGAGAGGGAACTCGAAAGGAAAAGCCCAAAGAGGACAATATCTGCTAGCGGTGGGCTTGGGCTCTTACACTTGAAGAGCCTTTCTTCCGTTCAGTTTACTTACTAGAAGTAACCGCTTGAAATAACTCAAGCCTTTTCATGTCATCCAATTAATTCATTGACATTTTTGCAAATATTTTCTCGATGATTATTTTGGTTGCATCGTTCAACATTTGTATTGAATTAGAAGGCTTCTGGAGCACTAAGATTTGAGAAAAGATTGTATGTTTGGTGCCTTGACTGATGTGGTCTATTCTTTTTGCCTTTTATAATGAGACACATTCAATCATCTCTTGGAACATGCTTATTGATGCTTTGTGGTTAGTGAATTTGTGTATGAAGCAGTATTCTTTTCATTTTCGTTTCGTATGAACAACTTCGTCTGATGATGCTACCAGGAAAGCAAAAGATGTTTTTAAAGGAATAAAGAAGCGCCTTGGAAGTAAGAACCCCAAAGTTCAGCTTCTTGTCCTAGTAGTAAGTTGCGAGCATCCCTATCATAAGCTGACATGATCTTGGCACTATTTAACTTGCTCACAAGCTGTCTTGGGTATCTATGTCGTAGCTCTTGGAGACCATCATCAAGAATTGTGGGGACATTGGTCATGCGTATGTGGCCGAGAAGGGAATTCCTCGTGAGATGGTAAAGATCGTAAAGAAGAAGGTAAGATAGGATTCTTCATTACTTGTTCCTCTTTAGGGGAAAAAAAAAAACATTCAGCTCGGTTTTATGATGCCTATGATGCATGGTGTAGCCTGACTTTCGTGTCAAAGAGAAGATATTACTCCTGATAGATAGCTGGCAAGAGGCTATGGGAGGACCAACCGGACGATATGCACAATACTATGTTGCTTATCAAGAACTATTGGTATGATATTGTGCTGCATCTTGTTAACTGCTAGTCCTTGGAGATGCAAATTTCATTGTTAAACAATGGATTCTGATTGAAAAATTGGTTCCTTTCAGCGTGCTGGGGCAGTTTTCCCCCAGAAATCAGAGATGTCATCGCCTGTACTCACACCTCCGCAAAGACAAGCGGGACCGTATGGTCAGAATCTGCACAATCCTCATTATCAGCCAGATGCTCCAGGATCCTCTGCACATGTTAAATTTTCAACCTTAAGGTACACTTTTGATAGCTTTTATGTTTGAATGGACTCCACTACAGACTATTGAATGTTCTTGTTCACTTCCCTCCCTTCTGTTTAGCTACTTTGTGATAGTTACTTACACAAGCTCCCCCTTGAACTCTCAGCTTTAAACTATAATTCCCTCACTTCCTCTTACAAATTCCCCCCTCCCCCTACTTTCATTTTTCTTACATAAGTATGAGTACAACAGCTTGAAGGTGTATTGAAAAAATAGTGTGTAAGAAAGGGCTGGTAATTCCCTTCTACACGTAGAGTTTTCTTGCTCAAGTGGCACTGCTTTCTATGAGTTTGAACGGAGGATTGATGATCTGCTAGTCTTCATTTATTTGACATCTGAGTGGATAGTTCACTGTACCAATTAACACGTAGGAGAAACTTGTAATTCCACCATTATCCGTGTGTTTGATGTGATAGTTTATGTAAGATCCCACGTCGGTTGGAGAGTGGAATGAAGCATTCTTTATAAGGGTGTGAAAACCTCTCCCCAGTATATGCGTTTTAAAAACTTTGAGGGGAAGCCTGAAAGGAAAAACTAAAAAAGAACAATATCTGCTAGCGGTAGGCTTAAGCTCTTACAATTTACTTCATTCTTTTGACATTTTCTCGTGATTTTGTGAGACTTGAAATTTCTTGTTCAGCTTGACCGAGATCCAACTTGCAAGGGGAGTGGTGGATGTGCTTGCTGAGATTCTAAATACATTAGAACCAGGAAACAAGGAGGTAAGTTATTGATTAGAGAAAAGGTTAGATTAATGTCGTAATAAAATGATTCCCTTATTTTTCAACTTTTTATGCATTTGAATTCCTTCTTACTACCAATTTGATATGCGTTACACTTCATGTTGCAGGGCATTAAGCAGGATGTCGTCGTTGACTTGGTAGAACAATGCCGTAATTACAAGCACAGGGTCACTCACCTTGTGAATTCAACGTCGTAAGACTTTTAATTTTTAATTTGTTTCAATATTTGTTGTCAACATATGCATATAGTGGAACCAGGAGGTTGGTGTGGTTATGTATTGGATGTGTGCTTGTCATGAAAATGTTTTGTCTTAGATGGTGAAAGTTGAGAGAAGTTAATATCAATGAAGCCATAGGTGAAAGAAAAATATGAAAATTCCCTTCGTTTTTGGTGATATAGATCCTCCCTTGAAAAATTATGTGTTCCCTTTCAATATGTATAGACCATATAATACCAGTACATTCTAATTTCAGGGATGAATCATTGCTCTGCCAAGGATTGTCACTTAATGACGATTTACGACGTGTACTTTCCAAGCATGAAGCCATTGCTTCAGAAACTTCTGTTCAGAAAGAGAAACCCAAGCCTCAATTGGTTGAAGCACGTCGTGATGCTCGTTTGCCTCTTCGTAACACCGGTGATAACAACAACCCACAACCTGAGAGGTATTCTTTGATTTCTTCGCAATGCTCTTTGATTGTGTTTATGTCTTGTTTTTGCTGAAGATCGCTGAAATTTCTGAATTATTAAGCTTGCTGGCTAGAGACTACTGTGCTAACCTTAGAATATAGGAATATGTTGAAAGCTTCAGGGTGCTTATATCTGGCATTTGTTGACTTGTGTGTACCAATGAATGTACTGCAGCTCGATCTCGAATACTACTGTCTCAGGCACACAAACGGTAAATGAGTCGGTCCGTGCACCTCCTGCTACTGATGGTCCAGCTTCTCCAGCTAAGTTCGATCCCAAATTAGACCTACTGAGTGGTGATGACTACATTTCTCCAGGGGCAAACACTTCACTGGCTCTTGTTCCTTTGACCAAACAGCAGCCAACTACTTTATCTGAGCAGACCGCTCTCGTCCTCTTTGACCAAAGCGATGCTTCGGTCTCAAACTTCCATCAGCACCAGAATTTTCAGTCCCCGCAGGGTGGACTGCACCAGCTCAATGGAACTGTCCAAACCCCCGGATCCTCTCATTGGAAGCAGTCACTATACACAAATGCTTCTGGTCCTGGTCCCTCCATGAATAGACAGCAACAACCCCTGCCACTTGCTCCATATAATGGTTCGTATATGCACTTGCTAGACATATATATCATGCTTTGGAGTTGATTGCAGTCATTTAAGCAAAATTCTATACAATTTTTAAACATGTTTAAGTGTATTGCATTATAACATTATAACATACCATGCACCATATAGTGTTGAGGATTGTTGGGAGGGAGTCCCACGTTAGCTAATTTAGAGAATGATCGTATGTTTATAAGTAATGAATACATCTTTGGCATGAGGCATTTTGGGGAAGTCGAAAGTAAAGTCACGAGAACTTATTCTTAAAAAGTGGACAATATCATACTATTGTGAGGTCCGTGATTCCTAGCTTATAATGGTTAAAACAAATATCATACCATTGTGATCTTAAAATGCATGAAAATCTAACGAACAAATCTCACTGTTTGGGTGGGTTGGTCAGGTTCTCTAAACAACCCGTCATTTCCGCCGCCACCATGGGAGGCTCAGCCTGGGGATGATAATGGTTCGATGGCTGGTGAGCATCCCTATTCAATGAAGGTAACTCAAGTTGTTTTCACGCATGTGCAGAATGGTCTGTATCCACAGGGACCTCCACCAATGGGAAACGACCAATTTGTAGGTGTGTACGTCCAGCCAATTGTAGGCAGCCAGATTTCAGCACATAATGGCCAGCTCGACTTGGCCCCTCACACCTTCCATGGAGGGCCTTATGGAACCATGCTACCACAGCAGACAGGACAGATGACAGCTCTGTATCCCTTGCAAATGCTTGGCAACCAATTTCATGGCTATGGCCTCATCCAGCCACAGCCACAGCCACAGCCACAGGGGACACAGTATCTGACGCAGCGGGTGTATGGGCTATCCATTAAAGATGATAATGGCATGAGAAATTCGTCCTACCAGGTTTCAACTTCCTCTAATGTGCCTCCCATTAAGCATTCTAAGCCTGAGGATAATCTGTTTGGTGATCTTGTTGACATGTCAAAGTTTAAGCCCAGGAAACCCACTCTTGCGGCTGCTGCTAGCAGGTGAAAAACGAATCCACTTCCTTCGAATCTTTTCGAAGTAGTTCCTTTTCTCATTACCTGCCGTAGGGTTGTGACGTCCACTGTATATTTTGGACCACTGGGCTTTCTTTGATTTATGTTTGGGCTGTATAAGTACGTTATGTTATCGGTAATAAATGTCATATGGTGTTCGGATTATTGATTCTTTTCTTGTCTATATGTGTGGATCCATGGGTCTATGTGTATATAGATCTTGTTCATAGATTAACGAAAATATACAAAAAAATTTATTTAATTCTGTGAGTCTCTTCCTTTGTGAGTTTTCCTTTTTGCGTGCGGCACCGTTACTCCCCTTGACAGCAGCACTAATTTGGAACTTAATTTGAAAGCTATATTTCGAGTTTTTCTTTTTGCGTACGGCACCGTCACTCCTTTTGACAGCAGCGCTAATTTGGAACTTAATTTGAAAGCCATATTCCGACCCAATGATCCGGATGCCTTTGAGATGTCCCTAATGCAGTACTAATTTGGAACTTAATTTGAAACCATATTCTGAACCCGATGACAGGTGCTTTGCTTTTCTTTGCTTTTCCCCAGATGCCCCTAATAATCAACGAGTGCTTTTCCTTGTGGATCCTATTTCAATAGGAATTTCAATGGGAATTTCTTGCTTTTCCTAATAGTAGATTTGTTTCTATTGATTCTTTTACGATTTTTTCTTCTGCAGTATTTCCACGTGACACGAGTGTGAAAAGGGTTCATTTTTTCATGAAATACAAAGCTACTTGTATGGCAGGAATGTTCGAAGGCGCCTTATAACTTCACTAATATAATGATCAAACCTCTGTTTCAGAAGAAAAATCATTAAACCACTTTTAGAGATATATTTTCTATTACAACTCAAACTGTCATTCGAGAGTTTTGACCATTCAACTAGAGCATGAAAAGTATGGAACTTGTTTACTACCAAAGTGAAGTAACTTTCCATTAGAACTGATGGGAATATTATCTTCACCAATGCATCTCAAGATCAGATATCCACAGGGATCAATGACGAGAACAGCCACAACTCTTAGATACTCTGCCCTAAAAACCTGTCAAACCAATCGCTAGCTTCTTTCACCATCTCTGGTGTCATTGCGTGGCCAATCCCAGGTTGTGCGATGAACTGTACAACATAAATATTATAAAGCCATAGATAAAATAAAAAAAACCACCCTGTTAGGAATCCTATGAAAAATAAAAGACTTCTCCTTTAAAAGTACACATACCTTAAAATTTTCTGGACAACCAAAGTTCTGATAAACTGTCTGTGTTCTTGTTACAGTTGTATCCAAACCGGCAATTGGACATCGAGGGTCATCTGCACCTATTATTTTCCAAATTCAAATGCACATTAACTTTATTTGAACAGGCTACAGAGATCTAATTCAATTTTAAAATTAAAAACACCCCGAGCTGGGGGAAAAATATGCAATCTTGAACTTGCAGGTGACCCTGTGTTAATTTCTCTAAAAGTAAGAGACCTGCATATTTTACAGCTGAGTTCATTATCTTTAAGGAGACAACCATCTTCAGTTCACTGACATGATTTCAGGGCTCCTAGATGCTTACAAATTACTGCCTTTTGATAACTTTTTGGTTTTATAAAGTTAAACTTGTTTTCTCACCATTTTTTTTTTTTACAATATTTAAGTTTTTAAAAGTTTTTTTTAAAGACGTTCGTTAAAAATAGATAACAAAGAAAGAAACTTAGGAGTGAACGATTATTTTAAAAGAAACTTATGTTAAAAGAAGCTTAGTTTTCAAAAACCAAAAATAAAAAACTAAACGATTATTTTATCAAATAAGACTTCAAGGATTTTTTTGGTTCAAACTGCATAGTCAAATCTTCTAATTTCTCTAAATTTGACATTGGCTTGCGATTATAATCATTCATATAGTATAGGCAGGAAATGAACGTTACCATTTAACAACAACAAAGGACGTGGTGCAACAGCTGGAACTGCATAAATCGAGTCAAATTTAGAATCTAAACCAGGAGCAATCCTATTCCAGACCTGAACAAAATAGCAAGAAATAATTATGGAATTCCAACTTCAAATGTGCATAATCTAACAAAAAGCTGGTTATTGAAAGATATGGTAAGTAAACATTCTAACAACATCGTTAGTAAATAAGCAGCATAGAGAAATAGGCTTGGATTGACCATAATTCATAAATTGTTCAAAAGGAAGCACACTATAGATCGGAAGTTATTTAACCGGGAACTTGAGACAACAAACCTTGGTCACGACTTCTTTGTTGATCTCATTCATGCCTAATTCAATTCTTGCTTCTGCAGACAAGATGCAGAGACTGGTCATGAAAGTTATTCATTTTTAAAATTATCAATTACCATTCACCTTACCCTCGAAAACAGGTTTTATACTCTCAACTCGTGCCTGCCACTTATCATTATCTATGGCCCATCGAAAACACTGCAGTCATATCACAAAATATCAGCTGTTCTCCCTATCCTCCTTTCAAAGCAGGAATGTACTAACGCAAGATCCAAAGTGTTATCATTTGGGTTAACTACCTGCACGCCAATTATGGGGACAACCACGGCATAGCGAGTGTCGGCAGCAGCAGCAAACCATGCATGCATTCCTGCAATGAAAATGAGAAGAAGTAAGTCTTATACAACAAAAGAAAGGCATGTCCTTGGTTGTTACTTTACTTTTGACTGACCTCCAAGAGATTCGCCGGTAATTCCTATTCTACATGGGTCAATGTCCTCCCTTTTTGTCAGGTAATCTGCCAATTTGATCAAGTCCCATACCTGCAAGTAGTATTATCTATTAGCTCTTTGTAAACCCAAGTCCCTCAATTAGTTTTTATCCTAATACGTGGTTAACTTGCAGCAAATTTTCATTCATAGTCTCTAACAATTCAGCTACCAAATGAAGTGAGAAGCTACCGTGTCAAATATGAACGGCATGGTATCACCTCTTTTCCATGAAGATACAAGAGCCTGAACCAGATTGAGACATCAGATTAGAATTTAACTTTGCAAAAGAGAAAAGCACTTTGCTGTAGGGATTAGATAAGAGCTAAAATGCCACATTAAAATATCAGGAGTGATTGACAATCTCAAAAGCAGAGGTATAGTATTCTCAATCAAGAGAAAATGAATCTCTTCCAAAACTACAATTCTAGGCAGCCAGATTTAATAAAATTATATACTAATCCTGGGCAACATTAAGACCTTGTGTCACAGTTTCACCAATGGGTGATAAGCTATTTAGGTAGCGTACATATTTTTGAGTTCTAGAAAACTCGTAGATAAAAGGCAGACGAGCTGGTATAATGACATACATCGCGGTAGGTGGTTTTGTTCTTGGCCCTTTCACCGTGGTAACGAGAATCAATGGCAATGGCTACGTATCCCCTCGATGCATAAGCCTGAAAGAAGAAAGAATATGTTGTATTATCTAGTTTTAACACCTAGGTCCTAACAACAAAAGGCAGGAGCAAAAGAAGCCACTACCTCAAGCAATGGTCTCAACCACTCTTTGCACTTGTTCGTACTGTGCAGAAAAACAATCGCAGGTTTCTTTTGCTGTTTGCTATCCTTCATGCTTATAATCAATATAGGCAACTGCCCTTGCTCCCCTTCCTATAAATGATTAGTGAATAACTTCATTGTTCTTTTTTTCTCAAAAAAATAATTAAAGAAAATGAGAACACATTATATAGGGACTAAAACATCAAGAAATTGTTCTTTTCTAATAGATATATTACTGAAATTTGGCATTGTTGAAAAGTTCGTGTCCCATGTATAAGTTAACGCGAAAAGTATAAGAACATAGCTTGCCTCTGTAGCCAGATGAAGATTTTCCTCATGAAGCAAGTCCTTCAAATTGCTAATATCTTCCTTCGGACAAGATTCCATTGCCTTTAAACAGGTAAAATAGATCAACATAGGGTTGGCGACTACTTAAATAAAAATGAAAAAACGAACAAACAATACTACTTCGACCTTACTCAAGGCTGGTGGGTTGGCCTCCTGAATCAGAGGATCCTGGATAGGCTTTGAAAGCTTCACATTCAGCGGAACTGAGAAATTAAATTAGCAGACATCATGAGTTCAAAATCAAGCTTTTAAAAACTACTTTTTTTCTGTTCCCAAGATTGATTTGGTTTTTTTGAAAATTCTTTTGAAGAGTAATTAAAGCAACAAAACTATAAGTAGTGTGTTCATTGACTTAACATTAAAAAACAGAAAACAGAAAACGATACAAGTACCTATCAGCTCAGAATCTATTCCTACTTTTGAGTCAAAACTACTACTAGCTCGAAATGAACTTTACTGTTGATCTCCGAATGAAAACTTGCTAATTCTCACGAAAAGGCGAAACATCGTTGAAAAGAGGTAAAACTTAAGAAAAATGGCTTCAGCAAAGCAAATAGACGACGACCATTCAAATCAAGCAAGAATTTCTAAAACAAAACACTCAACACTCAAAACTGAAGCCACCCAGATCAGTCATCAAAATTCTCAAGGTAACTAAAACAGAGAACAGAGAAAATTCAATTTCGCACCTTCTCCAGATCGTCGATGACGCAGAACTCGAAGGAATTCGGCCCCAAACTTGTCGGCGTCAACAAGAGCTTCTTCCATTTGATTATTTTCGATTTCGACAGCTTCTCCTGGCAGCGTCGCGGTACGAGAAATTTAATGGCATCGGAAAGTCGTCGGTTCCATGGCTTAGGCACGTGAGCGAAGGACAGAGTAGCACGTGGCATTATTACAATAATTATAGCTGGGCATTGCAGTGGACGCGATCCAATCCGGTCCACGCCCTCATTGTCGTCTCGTGAGTCCAAATATCCGACGCAGATTTGCCGCAATATCGGCGAATGGTTCCCATTTCTTATGGATATAATATGGTTGCACACAATTTCACGGTCAACAGGCACTCGCCCAACGCCGCCGACGACCGTCTTGGCTGGATATAAATATAATATCGAATACTTTATCATGCCGGCTTCCATCAGCTCTTATGGGCATCTTATTTTAAATCTAAACTTTACTTAATTGAAATATAAGCTTGGAAAGAGGAATCTTGACTTGGGTATCTCTTGTGACACATAGAACAAGGGAATTTGATTAAAGTGGCCGACATGCAACGAAAAAGAAAACATTTTTATTATATTAAACAAATAAATAACAAGTTTTTTAAGGAATTGCATACTTGGCTTCCATCTCGCATTGTCGAGGAACTATAGTGCAAGTACCCTTTAAGGAGTAAAATATTTTGGTATCGTCTTGTTGCCAACATAGACCTTTGGGTTGTTGCATATGCAGGGGAGAGAGAACAGATGGCTCTGCATAGGAACTCCTTGAGGCAGTGGGCATTAAAAGCACCGTTTGGTCTGGTTATGGTATAGGTCCTACACAATTTTTAATTACTCAAACTCAACTGGGGCTTTCAGAATGATCCTCAAAGAATACACAGTTTTGGGTGTTTGAATTAGGTCTTTGATCACGATGCTATAATCAGTGGTGTTCTAAATAAGGCACAAATGGGGTAGTCCTTCTTGGCCACATTAAAAGCATTACTTCACAGATGTTTTACAGTACGATAATTTTACTCAAAGGGCAGTACAGATTCTGAGTTCTGATATCATGAACTTTTGAGGGATGATATTATTATTACTGAAAAGAAGAAGAAGAGGACAAACCTTCCTTGGGCCAGTCATAGTTTTCTCTAGAGAACGTGTCCAAAACACAATGAGCCTTTTAAAAATTGTATTATCTTCGTTTCTCTCTTTCATTTATTAGTTCGATCTTTCTTTTTCTTTTTCTTTTTTTTTTTGGGGGGAAGGGGAGGGGTTGTGAAGTCAATGAACAGGAGGGACAAGAGGCTTAACCTCAAGAATCCAATATGAAAAGCAAAGGTTCCGTTGCTTGAACTATTTCTAAATTTGTAGCTAAATTTGTAGCATGACATCTCATATCAGCTATAGGAAAGAATGAAATATTCTTTATAAAGGTGTGGAAATCTCTAACAAGCTGACGCGTTTTAAAATTAAAGGTTGACGATGATACGTAACCGTCAAAATTAATAATATATGATACCTGTGAGTTTAGGCTTGAGCTATTACACTATTTCAATTGGAAAAATCTAATTCTTTTAACGGAAGTTGGCTCATAATCATGGAGAAAGCTGCAAACAAAAAAGGCCAAAATTTTACCACCACCTTGACCATTTGGTAGCTTTTATTTTTTTCCCATGGATTTGAGAGCCAAATAATAGGAACTAGGGAGAAGCGAAACATACCTACTGCTTTGGCGCTTTCATTCGACCTAATTTACTTTGTTCTTGTTGTACACCATATATAATGTTCTAAATATGGGAACCCGCCCAGCTGTGATGACAAACATAAATTGATTAGTACTCCAAATATAAACACAATATTAAATTCTACTGCCTAAAAGAAAATCCATGTAGCATCTAGTTACAAGAAAAAAAATAAAATAAAATAAGTTTTCATACCAACAAAGCTTAAAAGATAATAATTGTTGGACAAAAAAAAAAAAAAAAAAAAATCGTGTTAAATGATCTTTAAAATATATATATATTTTTTTTTATAGAAGTCATGAACTTTCAATATCTTTTTGTTTAATAAATTCTTGACAAATATATATATATATATACATATATATACACATATACACACTGGGTTATGGTTCGGGGCCCTACCCAATCCTCTTTGAGCTTGTCTTCGACACTTGTGTCACCTTCTTCTCTCCAACTTTGCGTATACCTCAACTTATCTTCAATGCACACTTTTAGTGTATTGGATGATGCATCGTTCCACTCGGTCGCATAATGATAGTCCTCAATTTTGGCTCTTATGTGGTCGGTGCGCCACTTGAGGGTTGCCCCTTATCTGTGTTGACGGGTGGGTCACAACCTTTTATATATATATAATTTCTATTAAATTCTTTAAAAAAAAGTTTGACAAATTATTTATTAAGAGCTAGAGTGGAAGTTCATAGAAACACTTTTTACCCAAAAATTTGAATACTAAACTCGAAACGAAAATGAAAATATACTGATGGCACGATAAACTGCAAAAACGATAATAAAGAGAAGCAAATTATTAGAGGAAAAACCCATCCCGCATGCAACGGCAGCATCAAGAATCTTATGCCAGGGTGGGAAATTGATGAAAGGACCGCAACTTTACGACTGTTCTAGCGATTGCGCTACAACCGACAACCGATCAAAGCAATTGAAGCCTCAATCATTGTGTGGCCGAAAATGCCAATGTGGTTCTTGTGCCTCCAAATCGGATCACAAATGATTATACGACGGATGTGATATGTTGTTTGAGAATTCCGTTCTAGAGTGCATCTGGAAACAAGATCGTGACTACCTACCGCTCTGTTAAAACTACCCTAATTCGTCGTTATGCGATTTACTTGCAAGTTTGGGGAAAAAAATTGGAAATCACTCCAGTTTGGTACACTGATTAATATCAGAATGGCAAAAATCAAAGAATCATTGTCCAAACAATCAATCTTAACATCAGAAATCCAGTACTAGAAGAAAAATCAAAGATCGAAAACGTTAAAAAGTACCTGTGGTGAAGATAAGCCATCAGAATCGCCCTGAGAGCTAATCGTAACACAACAATGGAAATCTGTACGAACACGAAGAAACTTGTGAAGATAGAGTAGAGCTTGTAGCTCCAGAATCAAAAACTTGTAAGGCGGAGCGAAATCGGCGGAGATTGCAAAGCGCGCTTCCTCTGTCGGTGCATTTGAAATTGAATTCCGCGTACTGCAATTCAGATCAGTGCGGACTGAACAAAACTCCACCCATCTCTCTCTCTCTCTCTCTCTCTATGAGAATGATCGGACGGGTGAAATTAAACCTCGCGTGAATCGGAGATCAGCGGCTACAAACCGTCTGATGCAAATGGGTTTTAGGTTAACTTCATCGAACGGTGATATGAGCTCCACTTTGGCGCCAATGGGATCGGACGGACAACAATCGGCGGTTTGGCGCCAACGAGCCAGACATTACGTGGGAATATCTGGTTCCTTTTAATTAATTAGTTGAATAATTACTGTAAATAACATTAATATGTGATTTAATTTTTATAGCATAGTCATTATGTCGGTAACACTGCAGATTAAGGACATCATATAAATATTATTTCAACAATTTTTTCTTCTTCCAAGGAAACATTACCATATAGAAAATAATTAATTTAACTTTATATAATTATTATGTTTAAATATATTACTTATTTAATATTCGCATAGTTCTCTAAGTATTTTGTTATTTATTTTTCGGATAATATTTATAAATTTAATTTTGCTGGTTACAAACAAACATAGTTTTATTATTATTGTTTTAATATATATATATATATAAATTTAAAATAAGTAACCTAAAAATCCAAAGTTTTTATTTTACAATTTTGATATTAAACCATAATATATTTATAAATGTCGAGAAATTCATATTCACACTTGTATGCCTCAACATTTTCTTGCATCCACTGCGACAAGCCACCGTACTTACTTATATTTTGCTTCTAACAGTGAAAACTATCAATCAACATGAGCATTTTCAGCGTACTTTGTACTCACGAAAAAATTCCAAGAGGTCGTCCAGTGTAATTTTGAAATTTCTATGATTGAGACACTGAAGAGTAAGCCGTACTCTATTGGTATAGATATTAAATTTCAATTATTTTAAGTTTTTTCTTAATTATCTTATCCTCTTAATTGTTCTCATTTGGATGTGTTCGTAGTTCATTCATGTACGTTAGATTAAATTTTTTATTTATATTTTTTTGGGAGGGTAAGAGTGGTGGGTCAATATGTTGTGGTTTGAGGTGGGTTTGGCATTTAATTATGAAGAGATTTTAAACAGGATCTCCAACTGATTCAGTGGCCCATGCAAATATATAGCGGAATCAATACACACAGCCAATTCATGGCAACACGACATTTCACCTTTTTAGGTTTTCTTCCCACTTTTTTATTGTCCCCTATACATAAATAAATAATTATATATATATATATATAAATATATATCCCAATAATTAATTTCAATTTTAACAACCAGTTTCCATCACTTTCACCATGTTTTATCAAAATAGTAAACTTTCACAAAATATTTAATTACTTTCTTTTTCAAACCCCAAACAATTAAAATGTTTTTTTTTCTTTGGATTAAAACATAAAAAATTAGTCAATAAATGGGAATTTTATACTAGATTTGTTTATAATTCATAATTATTACAATTTAAATTAAATTATCAATAATTAACCACGACTAGGAAAAAAAAATTTAAGTTATAATATTTAATTGTATTTAGGCCTTTTAAATAAAATAAATTGTAAAAATAAAAGGAAAATAATGTATGAATTAAAAAAAAAAAAAAAAAAAAAAACGAGGAGAGTGGTTTGGAAAAATTTAGGGTTTGGGAGGAGGGAGTAGTCCTAGTCCTAGTCGAGGTCGAAAGGCAGGTAGCGTGTCATGTACGCACCAATTAAAATGCGTTTAAGTGGAGAGGCATCTTTTGCCTTTCATGACACGACAGGCACATCAAGTAAGCGAGCGTGTAAGTTACGCGTGGTAAAAATGGTGTTTTATGTTTTTTAACTTAATATTATTATTATTTAAATGAAAAACTGGCTAGGGCTTCGCTTTCGGTTTATTCACGCCCAAATGCTGATATGCCCTATGATCCAATCTACATGATACCGCCACGTGTCGGTCTATAATTACCTCCTGGAGCTCTCTCTCTCTCTCTCTCTGTATAAATAGGTCGTGGATGTTATGTCCATGTGGAATGTGGATGGCATGGGCATGGATGATTTTAATACGCACATCCAAACTTTCAAGGATTCAAAAAGATTATTAAATCAAAAAAAAAAAAAAAGGAAAAAAAAATACCCACTCCACTATCTATAGATCTCTCTCTCTTTCTCTTTCTCTTTCTCTTTCTATTTACCTCTCTCTCTCTCTCTCTCTCTCTCTCTCTCTCTCTCTCTCTCCAAGTATCGAAACCTCCGTTTCTCTCTCTAGGGTTTTTCGAAACTTCGCACTCAAATTCTGCTCCATCAGCTTCGAATCTCATCTCACAGCTTGGCTACTCGTCTTCGTCTCTAAATGCTCTCTCTATCAGTGCTGTTGCCTCGACTGGCCGTGAAGAATCGCTGTCCAGTTCATTCCGCGTCGTTCCAATTATCAGTTGGCTGAACTTAGGTGCGTTTTCGACTCCATTTAATTTTTTGTATCATCTTCTTCTATGGAAAATCTTTCGATTTCTTTCCTTTTTATGCCTTCAGGTTTTTTTTCAGCTTGTTTTGAGCTGTTTTTTTTCGATTTTCTTACCTCATTTTCCCTAATTAGCTTGTGATATTCGGTTCTGGTTTTCTTTATTCTTTTCGTTTTCTTTTCTGGCTGATTTTTCGAGAGTGAATTCGCTATGTTTCCGGCATTTTATGTGTTACTTTCGGTTATTTGATGTGTCACTGCGTCAACTGTTTGTCTGTCTCGAATTTCTGAGCTGAATAAAAACCCTAAATATTTATCAGCGGACCAATTCGCTCTCTCCAGTGGTTAGGATTTTCAGATGATAATTATTTTAGATGGCTTTGTAAAATCCATTTTGTTTATGTCGTCTACTGTTCCTCCGCTATTTTCAGGTAATTGATCTCCGTAAACCCTAGACAATGCTTTTCGTACTGTTGTACTGACTAATGCTTTTCTTTGAATTATATATGAGTAGAGCTGGTTAATTATGTAGTTTATTGTTTGTAATTGGTGAAATTATGCCTCGTAGACATCCTTGCTTGTTATTTATAATAAATTAGGGTTTAATGTTCATTATCCTCGAGTAATATGTAGTAATAAGTTGCTTGTGATCATTATTTTATGTGTCTTCGGGTTAATGTTTGCCAAAGTCGTTTCTCTGGAATTATTCATACTTCTTCATTGATTGAAACTGTTATTTTATGTGAGAAATAAGTACACATGATGATCGATTGAAGGATGATGAACTTGTTTGGTTGAAGCTCTAGATCTTATTTCTTTTGATACACATCAATTTGATGCCTATCATTTTATTATACTTTCACCATTTGATGATCTAATTGGCTCGCTATTCGGTATATGATCACGAATTGGCCATTTTACAGCTATAAACCGTAGCTAACCTTCAGTGTTCTAATGGACGAGGAGCATCATCAGAAGAGTGATTCTAGTATCGTTTTGAGGACTACAGTCCCATTCATTGAGATTGACTCTTTATTTATAGACCTTTCCAGTTGTATTGATAAACCTGGTGCTGGAAATTGTGATCATTTCTCCATACGGTATGACTTTACATTATATCAAGTTTAAACATGTTGTTGTGTTCCTTTTTTAATTAAGTTGTATTGGTTGATTGAAAACTGAGACTGTGTTAACTAGAGCTTGGTTCATGCACGTCTCGTTGAAATATTCATGCTCATGTCTCCTAGTGCACTTATACACACAAATGAATCATTTCCACATCTTGGTTTTCATGCAATTGTTATTGTCCATACACAAATCAAAATGTTTCTACTTTCTTTCAACTGTTATTCAATTTGGAAATTTCAATGATAATGCTATGCATAGCAACTAAATGGAACTTCTCTTTACTTTTTGGTGTGCCATACATCACATACTTGCCTTTTTAAATTGCTATCTAAACGACTAATGTGGAAGATGAAATCAGCATTTGAGCTCACCTAGTTTAGAATGTTCTTCCAACATGAATATCAAACAGACTAAATATCTCAGAGCTAAGAGTTTAGGTTAAGAAAAGACCTCGATGAAGTGAAGGTTCAATTTCCTGTAAATCCAGTCTTTTGTCGTACTATGTCAAATTAATTTCCTCAAAATATGTTCTCAACATCCATTGTCACTTTTCCTCATCAATTGTCTTTTGTATAGTGGATATGCATCTCAAATGCGTGAGAAAGATTGGAAAAAAGGCTGGCCATTTGATTTAGATGGTGAATATGAGTCTGAAGAGACACTATCCTTGCTTCCACCTTTTCATATTCCGCAATTCAGGTGGTGGCGATGTCAAAATTGCAGGAAGGAGACTCCTGCAGGTGGTGCTAAAAAGGATAAGGATTTAATAGTTGACTGTTGCAACTGCAACCCCCCCCCCCCC